GGGTGTCATCCCCCAACTTTTTTGAAATGGGAAGGGTGGTCAAGTGGTACCGCAATGAAAAGGGCTTTTTATTCTCTATATTTTCCCGCTTCGTTTTTGAAAATCGGTCGAGTCATTGAGAAAATATGAAGGATTGAAATTTGAAAAGTTTATCTAAACATTTATCAGAGTAAATGATAAGGATAAATTCCTTCGACCAATTTGCTGTTTTTTCTTATTATTTCTAGATGTTTACGCATTTTTTCACTTGCCACAAGATTGAACGATCAGTTCTTCTCAATATCGTTAAACTTTAATAACTTTAATAATTATGGTGTACTCACTTGCAGAAAAAGTGGAAATAATCGAACTTTATTTTAAAAATAACGAATGTAGCAATCGGGTTCCGCAGATATTCAATGAATGCCATCCTGAAAAACACCTTTATGGCAAAATTGTTCGCGAGTTAGTAGCAAAATTTCGCGAAACTGGTTCCGTTATGAATAAAAAGAGGCAGAGGGAAAACCCTGTAGTAAATGAAGCTATGGAGGTATTCGTATTGGGCCAAGTTGCCATGGATAGTACGCTGAGTACAAGAAAATTAGCCGGCGTGAATCGTACCAGTGTCCAAAGGATATTAAAAAAACCACCCGTACAAAATTCAGTTGGTACAAGAACTCAACGAAGACGATTTTGATCGTCGCTTGCAATTTTGTGAAACTGTGAGTGAACGAGTGGCAAATGACAATAATTTCCTATTTAATGTGTGTTTTTCGGATGAGTGTACTTTCTTTTTGAACGTGTAGTTAATCGGCACAACTGTCGTTACTGGGCTGAGGACATCCCCAGGGTTTTTCACGAGGTGCACACACAAAACACTCAGAAATTGAACGTGTGGGCTGGTATTTTTGGAAATTCTATTTTAGGTCAGTTTAACGATAAAACATCTAGAAATAATAAGAAAAAAACAGCAAATTGGTCGAAGGAATTTATCCTTATCATTTACTCTGATAAAGTTTTAATAAACTTTTTAAATTTCAATCCTTCATATTTTCTCAATGACTCGACCGATTTTCAAAAACGAAGCGAGAAAGTATAGAGAATAAAAAGCCCTTTTTATTGCGGTACCACTTGACCCCCTTCCCATTTGAAAAAAGTTGGGGATGACACCCCCGCTTAGAGGGTTGAAGATTTTGCAATCATTTTTGGGGCAAAAGTTGTCCCCCTCACAAACAAAATTGACGTGTTTTTGGATTTTTTGAAAAAAAAAATATTCTGGCCGTTATGCCTTGCGGAACGTTTTCGATGGGCTACCCTGTATATCCTAAACATAGCGATGCATGGGAACTATCGAATGAATTAGACTATCGTATGGTTACTGAATCAATGATTCCAACTATCGAATGGTTTTATTCTAATAAAATAATTCATTCATTTGTATACTAAAGCATATGTGACAACCTCGCCGTGCGACTAAATGGTTATCGTTGAGCCACGACTATCGAATGCTTTTGATAAATGAATTTTAGTATTCGTTTAGATTTTTGTGTGCATCAGTGCATTATTAGTTTCTCCAAATTTTTATAACTTCGCCTTGTAAATACTGTGCTATTTTTACGTTTATTAAAATATTTAAAATACTAAAATAGTAGTTTTTTTTTAAATCGACGATTGTGTGCGTGTGCAGGTGGTAAAATTATTTCCGAAAATTTGTGTGATTTTCCGTAGCCCGATCTTTCAATTATTTAATTTTATATGGTATATGGTCTATTTTTTCAAAGTAGCAATTTTGCGAAGTAGCAATTTTTAAGAGAGATGAGATGAACTTACAATTAATTTAAAAAAAACAAATTTGTATTTTAGATGTTTTAATAATATGAATTAGTTGAACTTAATAATCGTATTTAAGTAATGTGGTTAAGTAAATGGTTATCGAACTCAAATTTTGGGGTGAGAAAATTAAATTGAAACTTTTACACGTGCCAATTTAAAAAAAGTTAACGATATTTGTATTTTGTTTATGCTAATTCTCTTACATGTAGTTTTTTGCGAAGAAATATTTCATTTATTTTTTAAAGTAAATGCCAGTAAAAGTAAATATTATTTTTAAATAGTTATATAAAGATAATAAAATGTAATATAAATAATTTTAATTTCTAATTTTTTATTTATATTTTCCTTCCATTACACTGCATGCTTAAAAAATTAATAAATGTTTATATCTCTTTATTTTAAAATTTGTTGTTAATATAACAAATTAGTTCTGTAATTAGTATTATTTAATAAACCAACGTCGCCAAAAAATTTAGGGACTATATTATTTTTAAATAGGATCTAATATAAATGATTTTGACTTCTAATTTGTTGTTCATATTTTACTACTACTTAAATTAAAATGTTTATATTAAATTATTTTAAATTTTGATAAGCTAAAATAATTACAATCAGAATAGTAAACAAATTCTAATAAAGTCATATAGAGATCAAAATATAAAATACAATCACAAACAAATTAAAAGGTTATTTTTTTTAAAAAAAGATTAAAAAGTTATTTCTATCTCAATTATTCAATCCCAGACAACTTATGGCAAGCTTGGTTTGAAAATTAAAACAACTAAATTACAAATATTCGGGGAAATAATACTAAATTTAAGTTCAACAAAAAACAAACAAAAAAAATTTTGTATATCAAAGTAAGCATTTTTATGCATGGAAGACGTGTATGAAATATACCATTAGAGATATTTTGAAAAAAATATATAAAATTTTACCACCCTGTAATCACTTTCTTAAATCTGAGCATGTCATTAAGGAATACCCTGTATATTTAGCTTGCTTTGTTATGGGTAATCCCGTTTATATTTTTCCAAATTTCCATATCATTTTAGAGAGAAAAAAAGAAAATGTAATAATATCGATCAATTAATTAAGCTTTAACGTTAATTAAGCTGTTTTATCATTTTTAATTTTTTTTACAATAACTGCATAAGAAAAACTTAGTTAAAAGTTATATTTAAAAATACCGCTTATTAAAATATTTCATATGAGTTAAATAAGTTTTCCCATGGTACTTAGCAAACAAGATCTGCGACGTTTCAACAGGGAAAGTGTCTTTTATAAACAAACTTAACGACAAACTCGTTTGCGGAAAAGTTTGAAGACGCCAAACTCCTTAATATGCCACGTTAAGAAAATAGTTTAACAACAAAATTAGGTTTAGGTACGGATACTGATAAATTTTATCAATCTTGATAACTCGCGAATTAACGTTGCGTTTTCAAAATTGAAACTATAGAATGCAAAAAATACTTGTAAAAACAAAAAAAAACTTGTAAGTATCATAAAAAGAATAATTACACACACCGGAAAAGTCTAGGGATATTACAATTTTATCCAGCCATCGTCAGTAATTTTATTATTTGCATTTCTGATATAATAAAATTAAAATAAACAAATAGTTTACATGACGTATTGGAAATAAAAATGCGAAATTTACCGAATTTTTCAAATTTACCTTAATTTTTATTGAACTCAAAAAAATACACACATTTTTTTATTCTAAACTGTGATTTAAAAAAAAAGATAAAACCATTTTTACTTAATAAAGGATATGGCCTCCTTTACTGTTCATTACAGCCCTACATCGTCTCTCCATGCTCCTGATCAGGTTGTCGATCTCTTCTTGAGGTACAGCCTACCACGCTGCATTCACGGCCCGAACCAGATCCCTACGAGTTTCACGTGGCATACCCATTCTCAAAATTCTTCTTTGGACCGCGTCCCATACGTGCTCGATGGGGTTGAGGTCAGGAGATTGTGCCGGCCAGGGTAAGATGTTTAATTGAGCGTTACCAGTGAGCATTACCACTTACCACTTACCACTCTGGCTGTATGAGACCGTGCATTGTCATGCATGAGAATGAAGTTTCTCCCAAAATCATTGGCATATGGTAACATGACAGGCTCAAGAATTAAATCACGATATGTGTGATTCCTGTTAGAAACCATTCAAGAAAAACGAGATCGGTATTTCGGCCTAACTGGACTCCTCTCCAGACCATAACTGTTCCACCTTGATAAGGGTGCACTTCCTGAACATGATCCAACCGAATAAGATTTCCCGGTTCTCTGCATACCCTAAGCCTTCTCGAATCGGGATGAATTCCAAAGCGTAACTCATCCGTGAAGAGAACATTGGCCCATTGTTCATTTGACCACTTAACATGATCTTGAGCCCACAAATATCGTACGTCTCGATTTCCTCTCGTTAAGGGTTGAGCTCTCCAGGGGCGTCTGCTTCTTAAGTTGACCTCTCTTAATCTATTGCGAACAGTGTCAGGACTAACGGTTACAATATGTGTTTTCTGTAGAATTAAACTAAGCTCTGGTGCTGTAAGAGTCGGTCGACGTCGAGCATTTAATTGTAAAAAATGATCTTGCTGAGGAGTAGTAATGCGATGTCGCCCTGTGTGCCTTTCAGCAACATCACCACTTTCACGGTAGCGTGCACTTAATCGCGATATTACACTTTGCGTTGTATTTAATGCTCTAGCTACGTCGATTTGGCGCATTCCAGCTTCGAGCATACCCATGGTCATTAGCATTTCGTCTTTGTTAAGATGTTTACGCTCCATAATGTCGTTTAATACTAAACAGAGTTATTTGAATGAATTCTGGCCAGTTATCATAAAAACATAGCCAGTACAGGTTAAATTTGAACAATTGGTGCTAGGTGCTTTTTATACATTTGACAAAAAATGCACAAACACTTCTGAAAATATCCCAAATTTAGAAATAACTAGTGTGACTACTTCGATTCAATCGAAGTAGAAAGGATCGGCCTACAAATATGTGGTTGTTTATTCAAAACATTTATTTTTAACTTTAATAAAATGATATCCCTAGATTTTTCCGGTGTGTGTATTATTCATACTTTTGGGAGGGATCTAGTATTCTTAAACAGTATTCTTCGCTATCAAAATGACATTGTTTATTATTATTATCGATTCATTTTTTTTCAGGAATATGTTCAAGAAAATGACGAAACAACTACTCCATCAAAAACAACCAAAAGTTATGATGTATTAACCACCAAACCAAGTACTCTGATGAAAGACAACAATTTCAACGATTTTGTGGACACATCATCCTTGCATACTACCAGCCAAAGACCGAAAACCAATGATGCAGAAAAAGAAACTCCCATGACGGTGTCTGTTTCCTCATCTGTTGGTACAAAAAAAGGAACCACGAAGATCAACGATGAAGATAAAAACGACAAGAAGACTCAGAAAGAGTACCCAGAGCTAGTGGTGTCTGTAGTTACTAGTAAAACTATAGTCAATAATACAGTTGTCGCTCCTGTTACTACAGCTGATGGATTGGTTTCTTCCACTGAGTCTTTGTCAAATCAAACGCTTTTGGATGATAATTCTACGGAATCCTGGATAGTAGTAGCATCAGTAAGTTTGAGAATTTAGAACTTCAAATACATTACATAGAGTTTACTGTTACTGTTAGATTAGATAGAGATAAAATGAAAACCAAAGGTATATCTATATCTACAGTTTCCTGTAATGTCACTATTATTCGGTCATACTGTATTGTTTTATTGGCAAACGAGGAACCTTACCGAAAAACGGTATCAACTCTCTCTTTTCATCACTAGAAATTCCTTTATACAGGGTTGTTCACCACATACTACACGGAGTATTGTAGCTAAACGATTAGATTTTTACAAATTGGAAGTTTTGAGTTCGTTGAAGGACTATTAGAGTTACAATTTAAAAATATTTTTACCACATACAGAGTGTCCCAAATAAATAAAAAATATCAAAGTTAAATTTTTTTAAATGGAACACCCTGTATATTATTTTATTTTTAATTTCCACGATTAAAATAAAGGTAAATTTGATTAAGGCTTACCGCATTTTAATTTTACCGTTTTGAAATATTTACGTTTTTGTCAAAATACAGTAACAACTTTAATGCTTCATTTCTCTAAGGGTATTTAAGTTTTTAAAATCCAATATTGGTACTGACTTTTTTACTAAATATTATATTGCAATAATAAAAATTATACTACTTTATACAGAGTGTCTATTTATTTTAAATAATTACTAGCTTTAAACGGAAATAACTTTTTTAATTTAAATAGAACACGCTGTATATTTTACGAGAATCAGATGCACAGTTGAATTGTCTATCAAATTGTATTATACCAATTTGTTCCTATCTCTTCAAGTTTTCGTAGAAAATACATTTTCTTATAATTTAAACCTCATTTATCAATATACCCATGGAATACATACATTTTAGTTATTTTTAAAGAGGTAATAAATTTTCAAAGAGTACAGATACTGAAATTGTGGATATAATTCGCTTATTTCATTAAAAAATAAAAAAAAACTGTTTAAATATTTGTTAAAGAGGACTAATTAATATGATCCCAGTATTCATATTACATTAATAGACTGTTTGCCTTGATTAATACTAATTGCTCCAAATACTAAAAAACTGAATTTTGTATATGTGTTTAACAGTGTGGTAAAAAATAACACTTTATAAATCTTATTTAATTTTTTGACGAATGCTTATTTATAACAACGTTCATTTTCATAACTTATTATTATATTGTTTTCTGATTCAAATCTACATTTATTTAGAATAATTAGTAAACTATTACTAAAACTAAGTATGTAATTAACTATTTTTTGAGCGGAAATAATGGTGGTATATTAAATAATATACCTACTCTTTTACCAAAAATAGTTTTATTTAATAAGTAAACAAATGGGCTTGTAATATTATCGTTTATAGCACATCTACAATTTGTAAATTTGATGCTTTAAAAAAATCTAAAATGTCAATATTCCATGGGTATATTGACAAATGAGGTCTAAATGAGAAGAAAATGCATTTTCTACGAAAACTTCTGATTCTCGTAAAATATACAGGGTGTTCCATTTAAATTAAACAAATTATTGCAAAAATCCATATAAATTAAACAAATAAATTTTAGACACTCTCTATAAGGTGCTATTGTTTTTATTACTACGCAATATTTGATTAATAAATAAACTTCAGAAAATATTTAGCATTAAAATCTTTCATACATTTGGAAAAATGAAGTCCTGAAGAATATCAGAAAATTGAATATATTTCAAAAACGGCAAGGTTTGAAGTGCGATAAACAAGTGTGATAAACCTTAATCAAATTTACTTTTATTTCAATCGTAGAATCTAAAAGTAAAATAATATACAGGGTGTTCTATTCAAAAAAATACAAGTATAACATTTTGTCTTTATTTGGGACACTCTCTCTTGGTATTTTGTAAAAATAGTTTTAAATTGTAGCTCTAATAGTCCTTCAACAAACCCAAAACTTACAATTTGTAAAAATCACAAATCGTTTAGCTACAATACTCCGTCACAAATTAACTATAACAGATGCGAAAGAACACCGAATTCCGCGTTCAGGTTTCTGTGACCTTCAGAAAGAGTTCATAGACAATCCGCATCAATGTATAGTTTGGGTTATTATTTGTTTGGGTGAGAATAATCTGCACCAATATGTTATCGAGGCATATAATCTCACAGTAATTTAATAGATTACTCGTCATATTATATTAGTTCGTAGGAGATTAGGGAAAAAAAAAAGATATTTATAGTATAAAAAATTAATTTATTTAACAAAATTTAATTAAAGATGTGACAAAATAGTTACTTTTCTATTGGTTCTATCGGACTTTTTTCGACTATATAAATCTTTATTTGTAAACTTTAATGCATAAAATATTTTCAATCTAATAAATAATTTAATGATGTAAATAAGAGGAAATTTCTCACATGATTGGTCAAATTCTATAGTTTTCATTATATCAAACAGCCTCTGAATGTTTTCTTCAGTGCAAAACTCATCAAAATTTAATATAAATAATTTTTCGAGCCTGTACATAAAATGAACAAATTTTTCCACTTTCATGATCAAAGGCTTTTAAATGGGTAAATAATTTCGAGTTATCCAGAGATTCGGATTCTTTTGCAAATTTTAGACAAATATCACATTGATGTATTTGAAGACCCTTTTTAATGATGTAGTCAAACATAATTAAAGGCATTTTGAGTTGAAAACATTTCTCAGAGGCTGTTTGATATAATGAAAACTATAGAATTTGACCACCCATGTGAGAAATTTCCTCTTATTTACATCATTAAATGATTTATTAGATTGAAAATATTTGATGTATTAAAGTTTACAAATAAAGATTTATATAGTCGAAAAAAGTCCGATAGAAAGGTAACTATTTTGTCACATTGTTAATTAAATTTTGTTAAATAAATTAATTTTTTATACTATAAATATCTTATTTTTCCTTATAAATAAACACATTTGTATCCCATTTTAAATAAGATATACAAATTACCAAAACTTAGAAATAACAGTTCAAAAGTTCAACAAAAATCCTACACGCGTTTTTAAAAAGAAACATATAACCACGCACTATGTCACTCCAGCAAGCGAATACGACACAGCATGGGTTTCCGGACTAAACGACTGGTGTATTTACACCACTCAATAGGCGTGTCGGGTTTGCCGAACGGTTTTTGATGCAGTCGCTTTCTTTCGCATCTGTTATAGGTAATTTGTGACTCCGTGTCCTATGTGGAAATAACCCTGTATGTTATCCAAGCATACTAGATTTTTCGTATAAATTTAGAATTAAAGTTTAGAGATCTGTTGCCAAATTCAATTATTCACAGCGGTGGTCATATCCTTAGATTAAGGTCATATCCACCCCGAGAGTAGTTAAAAGGACACACTTCCTCTAAAGTTCTCATACGTCCTAAGCAGGAAATCTGATAATGAATTCTGAGTATAAAGGCAAAATAACGTTCGCAAAATACTCCGTTCACTGTATAGTTTAGCTGCAACATACCAGCATTAGTACCTAGCTTGTTTTAATAATTTTATTTGAAATAGATATGAATTATAAAACAAAATTCTTGACAGTAATAGATGTGTCTGTCATTTTAATTTCAAAACAGTTTACTTTATTTTACGAAGAAATAAGTTGGTTCAGTTTGAATGCAAAGCGGAAAATTAATATATTTAAATGTTTAATGCCAATTAACAAAATATTGTAAGTAAATTATAAAACTTATAATTTTCATTAGGTGCAAACCAGCCGCAGCGTGTCTGGAGCCAGGTATATTCCGTTTTCCGTGATAGAACAAGACGAACGAGTGAAACTACTCAACGAACCAGACGAAATGGAAAATAGTACAAACATAACGCCTACAGAGGACGATTTCTCAACTGAAGATGTTCTTTCCACATTGCCGGAAACGTCCACGAAAATTAAGACGTCCACGGAGAGTCTGATCGACAAGTTGGACCGAGTGCAGTCCGATCTATCCAGTGGATTATTGACAGGTAATTCATATTATTATAAGCTGTTATTATCGTCGCTAGCGTAATATTAAGAAAGGCCCAAATTTTAACCCTCAAACCGACCTAGTGAGATGAACTAATTTCAGATACAAGTATTTGAAATACAGATATAAGATACAAAATACGGTATTTTCATCTTATTTAATTATAAGTAACATCACAAGTTTAAATACAAAATATATCTAAAAAAATATTAAGTACTTAAATTCTTTATTAACACAAGTGATACTGCCATGACACCTTGCGTTATACGTCTGCAACACATACAGTGTTTCACAACCCATTTCGATTCCTGTATATCAGATATCAAAGCATCATCAATTTATGAAAAGTTTATTTGTCAGCCCGATTCCACCAAATGTGACAAAAACTCCAAAAATGAGAGGGCGTTGAAAAGAGGCTTTAATAACCTTTCAAATGATGTGCTACTCGATCCCGCATTACGTTTAAGTTTTTAAGGGCCGATGTTACCCCCGCGTGGGGTTTGAATTAGGGGCTTCAAAAATAGTCGCATCTTATTTCCCCTTCGAAAATAAAGTTGACATGTTTCACCGTTTTGTTCCTTTCACACCAGAAATGCCTTTAAATTGCCTTGTTTTGTTTGAACTGGGACACCCTGTATATGTTGAAACATGGCTGAAACATCGTATTATTAATGAAACTATTAGTCCTAGACAGTAGTTTATTTCATACATATTATTATTTCCGAAATTATTTCAGTGGTACTCAAAAATAAAAACATAAATAAAAAAGTACATTTATATGCAACACCAACATACAGGGTGGCCCATCGAAAACGTTCCGCGAGGCATAACAGCAAGGGTATTTTTTTTTTCAAAAAATCCCAAAAAACACGTCAATTTTGTTTGTGAGATTGCAAAATCTTTAACCCTCTAAGCGGGTTAACCCTCTCCCCATTAACCCTCTCCCCATAGAAAAAAGTATAAAGGAGTCAAGTCGGGTGACCGGGGAGGCCACTCAATTGCACCCCTTCGTCCTATCCACCGACCGGGAAAGTTATTGTTCAAAAATTACGCACATTTTGAGAGCAATGTGTAGGTGCACCGTCTTGTTGAAATATTAGTTCCGCTTCAACGTATCCAGAATTGTCCTCTATGATGTCAGTTAGAGCTGGGTCGATGGTATTTTCCAGTAAATCCAAGTACATATCATCTGTTAGATTTCCAGGAAGAAAAAAAGGACCTACAATAGAATTTCCAAAAATACCAACCCACACGTTCAATTTTTGAGGTTTTTGTATGTGCACCTCGTGAAAAACCCCGGGGGTGTCCTCAGCCCAGTACCGACAGTTGTGCCGATTAACTACACCGTTCAAAAAGAAAATACACTCATCCGAAAAACACACATTAAATAGGAAATTATTATCATTGACCACTCGTTCACTCATAGTTTCACAAAATTGCAAGCGACGATCACAATCGTCTTCGTTGAGTTCTTGTACCAACTGAATTTTGTACAGATGGAAGTTGTGTTTTTTTTAATATCCTTTGGACATTTATACGATTCACGCCGGTCTCATTGACTAATTTTCTTGTACTCAGCGTACTATCCATGGCAACTTGGCCCAATACGAATACCTCCATAGCTTCATTTACTACAGGATTTTCCCTCTGCCTCTTTTTATTCATAACGAAACCAGTTTTTTGCTACTAACTCAGGAACAATTTTGCCATAAACCTGTTTGTCAGGATGGCGTTTATTGAATATCTGCGCAACCCGATTGCCACATTCATTATTTTTAAAATTAAGTTCGATTATTTCCACTTTTTCTGCAAGTAAAACATACCATAACTGTTAAAAAGTTTAACGATATTGAGAAGAACTTCAACGCACAAGTCACAGAACAGCTATCTAGCAACTACCCCACCTGATCGTTCAACCTTGTGGCAAGTGAAAAAATGCGTAAACATCTAGAAATAATAAGAAAAAACAGCAAATTGGTTGAAGGAATTTATCCTTATCATTTACTCTGATAAATGTTTAAATAAACTTTTCAAATTTCAATCCTTCATATTTTCTCAATGACTCGACCGATTTTCAAAAACGAAGCGGGAAAGTATAGAGAATAGAAAGCCCTTTTCATTGAGGTACCACTTGACCCCCCTTTCCATTTGAAAAAAATTGGGGGATGACACCCCCGCTTAGAGGGTTAAAGATTTTGCAATCATTTTTGGGGCAAAAGTTGTCCCCCTCACAAACAAAATTGACGTGTTTTTGAATTTTCTGAAAAAAAATTACCCTGGCCGTTATGCCTTGCGGAACGTTTTCGGTGGGCCACCCTATATGCATCTAGTTCTTTTCAAAATAATAGACACATATATTGTTTATGACATTATAAAGTTATAAAAAGTCAGATAAAATATTTCCAATACACTCTCCTAACCTAAATTATACTTCTCGTTGTTCATTTATGCTCTAAATGGTTCATTTAAATAGACCAAGCATCATAATCCTTGCACTATTTCACATTTTATTCTTGTATCATATACATTAATTAATTGTAAGAAAATACGAACAGGGTAGATCATTAATACTGCTAATTAGTGCAGTTTATCTTGAGTGGATGCAGTAAATGTTACTGGCTCTTAAATATTACGATTTCATTTACGGTATGTATTGCTTGCCGAGTTGTGTTACAGTTTATATTCCATCAGATGTTGCAATTAATTTAGAAATACCTAGTACAAGGGTAAGCAATTGCTGCTAGTATAAGTACAACGCTTTATATATTTCAGTTTATATGTATGTATACAGTATGTCCCCGGATAATTTTTACAATACGAAAAACTTTTTTATTAAGTATTGGTATTTTGAGAAAAATGCATTCTTCATAACAAATTTTGCTTATTTTGAAATGGTTAATCCCATTTATACTTTTCCAAATTTCCATACCGTTTTAGAGAAAATTAAAAAAAAAAACATGAAAATATAGAACTAAGTTAACAGCGACAACCAAGAAAGTAAAGAGGCAACCAAGTAATGAGATATTTGACTCTCCGGAGTGCGGAAGAGAGATAACATCACGTATCGGGCTTATCAGTCACAGAAAAGCTCATGAAAGAAAACTCCAGCGTAACTATCTTCTGATGCGTGTCAAATACTCGTCAACGAATAATGGCAGAGTAGTAGAGCTTTATACTAATAAAATTAATTTGCCTAAACGTAAAAAAATGGGTAACTTTTCAAGAGATTTTCTCCTTTCGTCGAAATTAATAAACAAATAATCAAAGAATATACAGACCGGACCACCGTAGTAGTAACATAGGCAGAACCGGACGAATTAGCGTATACCCGTCCGCCGGATAAAAAGCAGGCGAAAAAATGCGATAAAATAAAAATAGGTAGATATGTGATAGGAATGTTACAGAATTTGTATTTATTCGTGTTTTAATATCCAAAACGAATACGTAGATTCTCGCTACAGCTCTCGTGTAAAATTGATTTTTTAAGTAAAATAATGGATGTTTACGAAGTTCGTGAGAAAATTCAAATTGTAAAATGGTATTTCCCAAATAGGTCTTATCGGGATATACAAACAATTTTTCCACAAACTTTTGTAAACGGGCCAATTCCATCTTTACCTACTATATCAAGAGTTATTAATAATTTAGAAACACATGGGTGCGTGCCCGCAAAAAACACACAATGCCTGATGTGTTGATTAATGAAGAACAGGAGTTAAAGCAAGTGTTTGGGGTGGTTTTGTAAGGGAGCATATGATTGGTCCATTTTTTATAAAGGGTAATTTAACTGTTGCAAAGTATTTGGACTTGTTACAGCAGCAGATTGTCGCTAGAATTCGTGAGTTATTAGGAGAAAGATTCCACGATGTCTGGTTTCAACAAGATGGTTGCCCTGCCCACAATACCCGTATTGTACAAGAATATTTGAACAATACTTTTCCCAACCGTTTAATTAGTGAACATGGAACTATTTCGTGGCCCGCTAGATTACCAGATTTTTTTATCCCAATGATTTCTTTTTGTAGGGTTATGTAAAATCCAAAGTGTATGGTCATAATAGGGCTAATAATCTGGATGAGCTTCAAGTAAAAATATCAGAGGCTTTCCAAACTATTAGCCCTAATATGTTAGCCAATGTCAGACGGGGATCTTACGACCGCCTAGGCTTCTGTCTAGCACAAGAAGGTGGTCTTTTTGAACACTTGTTATAACTTTTTTTTATTTAGAGTAATATTTTAGTTATTTTCGGGTTTAGAGAGTTATTTATTTTTAGTTTTGGCTTGTAAACACACTCAAATAATAAATATTTAAGTATTTTTATTTTAAATGTTACCTTAAGTGAAGGTAAACACTTAAAATGAAAATAATAAATACTCGGCACTCCTCGCGTTGTATTCCTAGTGTCACGACCGACCCGTCCAAGCACAACTGCAACTGCGTACTGCCTGACCAGCCTACTAGCCGGCAGTGAATCTCTAGTACGAACGCAAATCGGGTAAACGTAAATTCGTCCGGCAACTTGCTATGTTACTAGTAGCCTGGTCTTCTCTGTATAGCCATACATTACTAAACAGATGTATAAACACTGTATTAAAAAAGCCTCTGTTATTTGTCAATTGAAGCTTTTTTGTCAGTTTTTCTTCAGACATATATCTTAAATTTGGAAAAATAGTCCTTTTAAGCTAAGTTGAATAAAATATTCTAAATTCTTGATATTAAAAACCTATTCATCTGCCTTATTTTGCTCGTATTTATTTTCTCCATGTATACTATTTTATTACAGTTGAGGGTTGGAACCTTTGGTGTTAAACAGCAAAATAAAAACACTAAATCACCACAATACACCAAAACACTTTTACTTTTACACTGGACGCGCGTTTCGCTAACCATGTTAGCATCATCAGCAGATGATTATAAACTAAAAAGATAAACTGAATTGGCTTTGCATGATTTAAGAAACCAAATATCTGCTCCTAATAACCTAATCTTAGTACTAAA